CTACTACATCGAGGATGTGCCCCAGCACTTCTACAAGTGGTCGTCGCCGCCCGGCGTGGTGAGGATCCTGGAGGCCGTGGTCATTCTGCTCTGCATTGCCATCTTTGCCTGTGTGGCCTCCACCCTGGCCTGGGAATATGGTTATGGATTTGGGGGGGGTTATGGGAACGGTTTGGGGGGTTTCTACGGATCTGGCTACTATGGCAGTGGGTTGAACTATGGGTATGGGTATGGTGGGTACTACGGTGGGGTCACCAACCCCCGTGCAGCCAACGGCTTCATGATTGCCATGGCTGTGCTCTGCTTCCTGGCCCAGTTGGGGCTCTTCGTGGCCAGTGTCAGCAAGTCCAGCGCCTCCCGCTCGCGGCGTTTCTACCTGGTGGTCATCGTGGTGTGTGCCGTGTTGGCCTTGGTCATGCTCATCGCCTCCATCGTCTACGTGGTGGGTGTCAACCCCCAGGCACAGATGACTGGGAGTTACTACTACAACCCCTTGTTGGCCATGTGTAACCAGATCTACAGTGGCAGCACCTACCTCAACCAGTATCTCTACCACTACTGCACTGTGGACCCTCAGGAGGTAAGGGGCACCCCCAACTCTGGCCAGACCCTCCTCTTGGGGTATAAGATCTTTTGATCTGTGTTGAATGGGATGTGGAGCATGAGAGAGAGAATGACCACATGTCCTGCCCTCAGGTCCTTGTCCTGCCCTCAGGTCCTTGTCCTGCCCTCAGTCCATGTCCTTCCCTGAGGTTCCTTGTCCTGCCCTCAGTCCATGTCCTGCTCTCAGGTCCTGCTCCTGTCCTTGGTCTCTGTTCTACCCTTGAGGTTTTCCCTCTGGCTTTAATGGCTTTGGTAGTGTTGGTCATGGTTTGGTGGCTCCAAAGGGGAAATGGAGTAATCCAGAGCTTTGGGAGGAGTTGGGATGAGCCAAGGCTGTGGGGATGACCAGAATGACTTGGGGCCATGGGACAACTGGGGCAATGTGGGACTGCAAAAGGAATCAGAGTGATCCAGAGCTTTGGGAGGAGTTGGGATGAGCCAAGGCTGTGGGGATGACCAGGATGAGCTGGGCCTATGGGAGGAACTGGGGCAATGTGGGACTGCAAGAGGAATCAGAGTGATCCAGGGCTGTGGGAGGAACTGGGATGAGCCAAGGCTGTGGGGATGACCAGAATGACCTGGGGCTGTGGGACAACTGGTGTGATCTGGGCGTGCAGGAGGAATTGGGGCAAGTGAAGCTGTGGGAGGAACTGGGATGATCTGGGGCTGTGGGAAGAAAAACTGGCGTGTTCTGGAGTTGTGGGAAGAACTGGGATAATCTGGGGCTGTAGGAAGACAAAACCGGAGTGACCAGGGCTGTGGGAGGAACTGGGATAATCTGGGTTTGTGGGAAGAAAAACTGGGGTGATCCAGTGCTGGGGGAGGAGCTGGGATATAATCTGGGGCTGTGGGAAGAAAAACTGGAGTGATCCAGGGCTGTGGGAGGAACTGGGATACTCTGGGGCTGTGGGAAGAAAAACTGGAGTGATCCAGGGCTGTGGGAGGAACTGGGATACTCTGGGGCTGTGGGAAGAAAAACTGGAGTGATCCAGGGCTGTGGGAGGAACTGGGATACTCTGGGGCTGTGGGAAGAAAAACTGGAGTGATCCAGGGCTGTGGGAGGAACTGGGATACTCTGGGGCTGTGGGAAGAAAAACTGGAGTGATCCAGGGCTGGGGGAGGAACTGGGATCATCTGGGGCTGTGGGAAGAAAAACTGGAGTGATCTGGAGCTGTGGGAAGAACTGGGATAATCTGGGGCTGTGGGAAGACAAACTGGAGTGATCCAGGGCTGTGGGAGGAACTGGGATACTCTGGGGCTGTGGGAAGAAAAACTGGAGTGATCTGGAGCTGTGGGAAGAACTGGGATAATCTGGGGCTGTGGGAAGACAAACTGGAGTGATCCAGGGCTGTGGGAGGAACTGGGATACTCTGGGGCTGTGGGAAGAAAAACTGGAGTGATCTGGAGCTGTGGGAAGAACTGGGATAATCTGGGGCTGTGGGAAGACAAACTGGAGTGATCCAGGGCTGTGGGAGGAACTGGGATACTCTGGGGCTGTGGGAAGAAAAACTGGAGTGATCTGGAGCTGTGGGAAGAACTGGGATAATCTGGGGCTGTGGGAAGACAAACTGGAGTGATCCAGGGCTGTGGGAGGAACTGGGATACTCTGGGGCTGTGGGAAGAAAAACTGGAGTGATCCAGTGCTGGGGGAGGAACTGGGATCATCTGGGGCTGTGGGAAGAAAAACTGGGGTGATCCAGTGCTGGGGGAGGAACTGGGATCATCTGGGGCTGTGGGAAGGAAAACTGGGATGATCCAGGCCTGTGGGAAGAACAGGTGCAATCCAGGGCTGTGGGAGAAACCGTAGCGACTGCAGGAAGAACTGGAGCAATCCAGGAGTGCTGGAGGAACTGGGATGATCCAGGGCTGTGGGAGAAGAACTGGAGCGATCCAGAGGTTTGGGAGGAACCAGGATAACTCGGAGATTATGGGAGGAACCAGGGCAATCCAGGGGTGCGGGAGGGACTGGTGTGATCCCAGCAGGGAGTTTCGGGGAGGGAATGAGCTGGCACAGCCTCAGTTCTTGGTACTTTGTTCTCTCTGGTTGTAAAGCGTTGGAACAAGGCTGTGGGTGGGGGTCAGGGTGCCAGCTGGGCACCCTGCTCGGGGGTCAGGGGGGCAGTGAGAGCTCCCAGAGTTTGTCCCCCAGCCCCGGGCGCGGTGGCACATGTGCCAGGACCGGAGCTGCCGGTTCCCATCCCGCCGGGCTGGCCGTGCCGCATTCCTGTGCCCGGCGCGGGGGGAGCTCTGCCTTCAGTGCTGCTGAGCCTCAGCCATCCCAGCCTCAGTGTGGCTGCAGGGATTTGGCTCCTGGAATCCACCCGGGATCGCTGCTGAGCCGCTGGGGGGGTCAGGG